TTGTCGGGGACTTACTTCAAATATATTTTCTAAACAAAAAAGTCAAATCATACCTTTGCAATCCATTGCATCTTGTTGTTCTGTCATGACAGGGTAGATCGCACACAATCTCACATATCCTCCATTAGATTCAGAGAAGGACGGAAGGACACATATTCTCCAAACATCCTATATCAATGTTATATTTTGGAGGGACACGCAGAGAAGTATTGGCACCTACGGATCCTTTCCTCGATGAAACTGTCGGTCAATGAAGTTTGCTTTGCTCACGACGGCTGCCGTTTTCCACCCCCAGGTTTTTCGCAGGGCTTTGGCTGATGTCCAATAGTTCTTTGGAGCTGTTTTTGGTTGGTGGCTCATGGACACTAGGTACTGCCACACTGTGGTTCTGGGAAAACATTTGTTATACACAACCTATCGGAACTCGTGTACTTGATACCCCTCTGAACATGGCCATGAGATTTGAGCCAAGAGTCTTTTAAGAGGTATGCCATTTTTGGAGGAGCTTGTTTCAATTCACATTCATTTACGTTATCACATTGCTTCTCGGACGGTCACGAAATCCGGACCCGGCTGTGCAAAGCCTTCACGGCGATCGGCAGAGGTCTCTTCTTTTGCGCCTTTGGCGAGTGGGTGCTTTCTGCGGGGGCTGTGTGCCAGGGATGGGCATCATTGCGGGCGAGAGTGCGTATACCGCATCACGAGAGACATAGACCTAAAATTAGATAACTCATTTATGTTGGACACGTGTTTGAAAACACAGTTCAAGTGGGGATGAGAGACTTGATAATTTGTTTCAACTTTGTTGCCTGCTGGCCAAATGGGAGATCGTTATCACTCAGTCTTGGCCGCAGGTCTAGTATTTTAGCTCGGCATTAGCATCAGCCATCGAGAAATAAATACAGATCAAATCGATTAAACCACATCATCTAGATATTATATACCCATCCTTAGGAAATGCGCCCAAGGCCCCCCTGAGTTCTGGGATTCATATTTGGGTTAATTTCCCAAATTCATATAAAAATCTTGAGGGGGTCGACCACCAAGAAGTCATCAAACATTTTAAAACAAGGTTGTTGGATTAATTAGCTGTCCATGGTATGGATTAATTATACAAAAAGGGGGGGGAAGCAGAAAGTGGATAAATAAACTTGAAGGATAGCAAGAACTCAACTACCTGTGGATTAATTTTGTGATTTTTGTGCTCGCACTCTTTGAATCTCAACTTGTTGCAACTTGTCTTGCACTGGCTCAATGAAAAGGAACTAGTCTGAGTCCTGTGATCAACTCAATATAATAATAGAAATGAATAGAAATGATTTGACATGATGAGATCAAAATATATACAGATATTATGTTTATAAGAATATATATATATATCCATCATAATGTCAACAAACATGGAGCCGCCGCCGAATGCACCCAAAACGTGCAGAGTGCGGAATTGCAAGCTGGCCAAGTTCATTCTGTTTTGTATAGTTTTTTAATTGGTGGTTCTATGTGATTCAATAGGCCATAATAAACCATACCATGTTTAACAAAAAGAAAGAACAGGTACCAATGGCATGAAAATGCCTGTATGGAACAACGCGCACAATGTCTGGGTTGCCCAATGTGAGCCTTAGATGATGTCAGAGATTTTTCGTGTGGTTGTGGTGTTTTGGACTGTTTCTTTTTTTTGTGTGTATATTTGTGTTTCTATTGAACGTTGTATAAATATTCTAGTAGCCAATCATGCCAGGACGGTGTCACAACCAATAGCCTTGGCTACGCAAGGGCAAGCAATCATGTTG